AATGTGTCTGTGTGTGCATGAATGTGTCTGTGTGTGCATGAATGTGTGTGTGTGTACATGAATGTGTGTGTGTGTGTGCATGAATGTGTGTGTGTGTGCATGAATGTGTCTGTGTGTGCATGAATGTGTGTGTGTGCATGAATGTGTGTGTGTGTGTGCATGAATGTGTCTGTGTGTGCATGAATGTGTCTGTGTGTGCATGAATGTGTGTGTGTGTGTGCATGAATGTGTGTTCATGAATGTGTCTATGCGTGGGTGTGTCACACAAAACTGAGTCCCATGGTTGCAGGGGTCTCTAGTTCATATTGGTGCACACAGTAGGTGCTCAGTAAATATTCGTCTGGGGTGCCAGGGAGGGGTTTATCTACAAGGACCCAGCGCTCTGTGCACACTGTGCGTGAATATATAAAGCTGAAAGGCGTGTGAGCCTCAGAGCCGGAGGAGACGCCAGCGGATGCAGTTGGAACCCGAAAGCTTTTGCACCGTCTGTGCGGAAGGAACTCCGGAACCAAGCTGTCCTTCTGTGTCTCCCCAGCCCTGCAGAGACCGCCTGTGGGTGCAGCCGCCTTCTCCCCGACGCTTCCACCATAGGTGTGAGTGGATAGCCCGTTCGCCATGAGCTGTGACCCCGCTGGCATTCCCACGTGGCCCCATGGCCTTCGTCCAGGACCTGTCAGCTTGGGTGAGTGGGTACTGAGTTGGGGGCTGGGTGTTTGGAAGGTGGGATTGCCAGGGAATTTTCTGTCTGTCCTTTGCATCCTGTCCTTTTCCTGGCTGGGTGTGAGTTGCAGAATTGGGGGCGTTGAGGGACCACCGGGACTCTGAATTGGGTAACTTGGTATGAGGCGGGAATTGGGGCTCTGCCAGGGAACCGTACAGATGAAAAAAAAACCTCAGGCTCCTAGGTGTCCCAAATATCCATTCTGTCCCAGGCTGAGTCGAGACGGTGTTCTCAGCTTAGGTTCATGGATCTGTTAGCAGTTAAGAGTGTGTAAGGAAGAGAAAATGCCCAAATCTTTGCCCTACAGCGAAGGAGCTACACGGGCCTGGGAGGTCCTTGGTCACCCAGGTCTCTCTTCTGAGCACCTGGAGGCCTGGCCCGTCTCTGTGGTAGTTAGGAAGGGGGTGGCCATCATAGCCGAAGCAGGGTAGATCGAGAGTGGGGAGATGCATACAATGCTTTTTAGGATTAGAAAAGAGTAAAAAGCTATATTTTAAGGAGGTAGGGTTGAAACTCCGTGGAGTGGCACACACGTGTAATCACAGCACCCGGTGGGTGGAGAAGGCAGGAGGCTCAGGAACTCAAGGTCATCCTCGGATAGGTAGAGAATGTGAGGCCAGCCTTGGCTACATGAGACCTGATCTCAAAATTCAGAAAGTATGAAAGAAGCTAGGCATAATGGGTCAGGACTCCAGAGATCTGGTTCTAGCTGAGTGGAACCAGTTTGGAACTTCTCTGGGCCCTGTTTTCTTCCATTCCATGAGGCACACCATTCCCACCTCTCTGAGCTGTGGGAGGGCCTGGAGGCTCCTCTCTGAGAGCAGACCCCAAAGCTGAGCCAGAAAGATCAGCGGCAGCAGCGTCCAGGCTGCTGGGAAGTGAGAGCCAACTGCTAGACTGGCCTGGAAGGTGGACGGGCACGTAGGTAGACTACCAGATGCACCGGGGCATAGCTAGGTCTCCCTCTCACTGTAGGCCCCTCACCACATCCTTCTTGTTAAGAGTATTTAGGAGCTGGGCCTGCTCAGCAGAGGGAGTTTGTATATGGCACACGTGAAACCCTGGGTTTCATCCTCACCACCGAAAACATGAAAACAAAACAGAAAAAGGCCTGAACAGTTGTTCGACAGTAAAGTCGGCAGCAAACAGACAAAAGGGGGGGTTGACAGAAAACAAAAACCAAACAAACCCAAAACCTGAGAGAACTTTCGGCTTTTAAAGGCACCGGGGAAGATGGGGGAAGGGCAGCTGACAGGGCTCCTGCTTTATGTGGCTTTGTGAGCTGAGGCTGGTTACTTACCCTCTCTGTGCTGGGTGCTTAGCCCAGGATTGTGCTGGGTCCACCCCTCTGAACAGGAGCAAACCAGAGTCACCGAACCTTTCCAGGGCCCATCAGGATGACAGTGCGTCTGGAGCTTGTCCAGTGAGATCAGAATCTGGGGCTAAAGTCTTTTGGTCCTGATCCCCTAGACCCTCATTCCGAGTTCCTGCAATCACAATCACTCTTTGCTAAATTTACTGGTTTTTATTTTATTTTATTTTATTTTATTTTATTTTATTTTTAAAGCAGTTGCTTCTCCATTTCCGATGTGCTTAATTCTCATGGAGCTGCATTCGTAACCATGGCAACTCGGGTCGAAGTTGGCACTATCGCATCCCTGAGGGCGGGGCCCGGCCTCGGTGACATCAGCCGGGAGGAAACCCTGAAGAGGACCTACTTTTGCCAGGCTGGGGACGTCCCTGGGGCGCCCTCCACCAGGATCCTAAGTTCAAAGAGCCACTTTCAGGCCCGCCTGTTCCCACGGCCCACTGCTCCCAGACCTTTCCTTAAGGAGCAGGTACCCGAGAGGAAGGGTTCTGTCAAATCTTCGTGGCCTGGCGCCACCCAGCCCTGTCTTTCAGTCCAGACTGCCAAGGAGGAAGCTAAAGTGGACTTGGGTAAAAAGATGCCGAGCTTAGCTGGTGAGGAGACAGACGGAGGGGAGGCCCTGCAGAATGGCCCGTCTGTGTCTAACAAAGCCACGTTCCTGAGATCTGGCCCCAGCACCATGGGCCTCTTCGAAACAACCAAAGCCGGACCCAGTCTGGGCAAAGGAACCAACGAGGGGAACCGGGAGGCCAGCTCTCGGGCAACCCAGGCATCTCCCTTAAGTGCCAGGCCTGAGGTGGCCACCAAGCCTGCCCTACCTGCTCGGAAGCCCCCAGTGACTCTGCCCCGACCGACCTCCCTGTTACTGGACCCTGGGTCCACTTTATCTCAGGGGGAGGCAGGCCGAGCCCAACCTTTGCCAGAGGCCCACAGTGTGGAGAACCCCGCTGGCCAGGCATCAGAGGCCAAGCCTCACCCAAAGAGACGGCCTATGTCAGCGGTATTCACCGAGTACCTGCAGCCTCCAAAGCCAGGCTCGGGTGGAGTGGCCGTCACAGGTAAAGTCCCTCCTACACCTCCCGAGAAGACGTGGGTGAGGAAACCCAGGCCTCTGTCTGTGGACCTGACTTCCATCTTTGAGAGTGGAGACACATTTCTGAGGAAAGTGGCTAGTGAGCAGAGCACAACAGAGCGCCAGGGCCCAGAGAGGACCAGCATGGAGCCTAGGGTTGAGGCAGATCCTGCCCATGTGGATACCACACCTCAGGACCCTGATGCGGAATTCCAGGAGCTGTCCAAGAGGCTCCATGCACGGAGGGAGAAGATAGCTCTCAAGCAGACAGAGACAGACAGTCCCAGGACTCCAAGGGCCAGGGCTAATCCTGGAGATGATCAGAGTCCCCAGGAAGGGGAGGCCATGCCAGTCCAGCAGTCAGAGAAGGCACAGGAGTCCCCTTCACCCAGACCTGCAAGAGGCCAGGGGCTGGCTGAGGTCAAGGGTGGGAGGTTTGACCAGGAGGCTTCTGCACGGACAGAGAGGAACCCCGCAGGAAGTGTCAGAAAGCGCCTCAGTCTGTTTGGAGAAGACAGCGCAGTGGCCTTAGCAGTATCTGAGTCCGCCTCCGTGACCCCGGAGTCCCCATCTACAGCGCCAGAGCCTTCGAGAGCTGGTGTGAACGTTCAGGCTCGGATCAAAGGCTGGACTGTAGAGAACACAGGGGAGAAGCCCGAGGTCAGGAGGAGAGCGTCCCAGGCACGGCCATTGCCTGCGGATTTGACCAAACCGTAAGTGGACACACCCTAGAGTCTGGCTCAGCCTCAGGCTGCTTTAACACCCGCTGGTGAGCCCGAGGCTAGGAGAACACTTAAACAGGAATCCCACCCATTGCCCCAGGGGAGGTGATGTAGCGATTCCTCTCAGATAAACTGCTGAGGTGAGGAGAAGGTCAGGATGTCCCCAGAGCTGGGTTCGTTTGGCACTCCGTCCTGCACAGTGGGAGGTGGGGTTCCCCTCTCACAGGTGGGAAGGCTTTGGGGGAGCCAGAGGGAGTCTGCCCCAGTTCCAGCTCAGCCTGACTAAGTGGCTGAGCCGTCCCTAATCTGAAGGGTCAGAGCACTCTTTAGATTCCATCAAGGATGGTATGCGCCTTGTCGGGGGAGCACTCTGTGTGTGCAAGGTCCTCCAGCATTGTGCACATTCACAGTCACACACACTCACATACATTCATACACACATCCCCATATACACACCCCCCACACACACGTACCCCCCCATGCACACTCCCACACATGCACACTCCTACATATACACATACATGCACTTATACACACACACACGTATACACACATTCACATGCACACACTCATTCACACCCCACATACACACACTCATTCACACCCCTACATAAGCACACACTCATCACACACAACTCTCACACATTCTAGAGCGTGCTCTCTTGCACGCTCACACTCTCTTACTCCCACTCATGTATTCTCCCACTTGCACACTCACCCATGCACACACACACACACAAGATTAGGCCTTTTTTGTGATTAAAGAACAAAACCCAACAGCACCTATGTCATCAGGCCATTGGCTAACGTAGCCCAGGCTATCTCAACTTCTCTAGGCAGCCAAGGATGACTTTGAACTCCGTGTCTTCCCGATTCTACCTCCCTAGAGCTGGGGTCAGAGCTCAAACCCCACCAGGACCTTCCAGCAAAGACTGAGAGAAAAACTCTAGAAAGAATGTAGGTAGCATACTCCACTGCCCTTGGTGCAGAGACAGCAGGTTAATGCCAACACTTAACGTGCCACGCCTTCCCCCTTGTTGTTTTCCACTGTAGCCATGGCTGAGAAATGTCACTGGGCCAGATCCACACTCTCCTCCATGTTCTGCTCCCTGCCTGTGTGCTTCCACTAGTGTGGACTCTCCGGACCAGAGTTAACTCTCAGGGGGTCCAGGGAATCAAACTCAGGTCGTCAGCCTTGGCAACAAGCTCCTTTACCTGCTGAGCCATCTCATAGGCCCATGTCCTGGGGATGTTGGTTCACTGAGAGGGTTTAAATGTTGGTGGATTTTGAAAGAGGCCCTCCCTAAGCTAAGATGACAGATGCCCAGGGCCTTGCTGTGCCATCCAGGTACCTCTGAAGGAGCCACGTGATTACATGACAGATGGGGAGACTGAGTCTCTGAGGCTAGGGATACTCACGGCCTCCCAGCAGTGTGGATTTGCCTGTTGGGGGCCAAGTTCAAATGCTCTGACCCCGCCCTTCTTTTTTCCTTTCTTTATATTCTCGAGCCATGAACCCTAAACACTATAGAAACACTTTGTGCCTCACATGTTACAAAGGGTATGATAGAAATGGAAACATTTGAATCTCCTCCTCCTCCTTCTCCCCCTTATAGTAGGGAAACAGGCCCAGAGAAGGAGACCGGCTTAGCCTACCGAGAGGCACAAGCAAGCCTGTGTCCCCACTTTACACCCCAACCCACCACCCCCAGATCTCGTGGCTGCTCCTTGGCCGTGGGTGGGTGTTGTGCCCGCGGTTGCTGAGGAGAACCATTAATTATCCCGCCTGGGGCTTCTTCAGTCTTCCCTGAACGCCTTCCCAGAGTTATTAGGGTCATGGCTTGCCTCTTAGGTCTGCCCTATAAAAGAGGGAAGGAGATGTTAATTATCCCTGCTTTATAGACGAGGAAAGAGAGGCTCAGGTGAGGCCAGAAGCCACCGGCTGCCGTGAGGAGGGAGTGGAGTTTAGAACTGACACCTGCTTCTCCCGGGTGGCAGGCTTTTTACACAGACATGCTCTGCCTAAGGTACACCCTTTCCACCAGGCACCCGTCCGTGACTATAAACGACACATTTTTTTTTCCCTCAAAGGAAGTCAGGGAGGTGGCCAGGCTGATGCCTCCCTGAGCCCCCTTGCGTCAAGGACAGCGTGGGCTTCAGAGAGTCTAGGCCGTTCTGCTCTGTGAGTAACTCCTGTCTTTGTCCCAGGTTCTCGCGGTCAGCTTCGAGCAACGAGATTGGGCACGAGAAGTGTGCCACGATGGGTGGCGAGCCCGCTGGGGAGAGGAGAGAAAAGGTAAGCATGTCATTTGCTACCTCCCTCAGAAGCTTGGGACCTGCCAGGCGAAGAGCTGCCCCTGCCATGTTAAAGTCCCTACTTCCTGGGGGTCGAAGGCCGTGAACCTAAGTGTTTGATGGCATTTGTTATTCCTATTATCTTTCTGTGCAAAAGCTTGAGGGAGCACCATCTTCTTAAGCAGTTTTAGTGAAGCCCCTGGTGGGCAGAGGCCGGCAGATCTCCCAAGTTCAAGGCTATCCTGGTCTACATGGTGAGATCTTGTCTAAAAAAAAAAAAAAAAAAAACTTGGGAGAAATTCCACGAGAGGTTCTTCTCCTCTCGACTGGATCTGCACCTTGTAACAGAAACAGCTCAGGTGCCCAAAACCATTTCCCTTTGACCCGGTTGGTAAGAAAGAGCTTGTAGTCACATGCTCCTGGCAACTGCTTTGTGGCTGATGATCTCTGAGGTGTTAATTTTTAAAAGAGCTCTTTATTGAGGTGCAATTGTCGGATATCATGTGGATTTAAAGGACTGGGTGGCTGGGCTTCCACCCGTGTCTTCCCAGGCAGCCATTACCACACAGGGATGGCAAGAATCTGCACCGCACCCAGACACCACCTTGGCCTATCTGATGCCTCCCGCCTGCCCTTCCCCAAGCTGCCTAGACCAGCTTTCAGCTTTCTGCTCACAAAGACTGGTTTCTATTTCCTAGACTTTCAGAACAATTGAATGAATTATGTCCATGCACTGTGTGTTCTGTCAAGCTCGTCTGAGATTGGTCCTGTTGTAGGCTTTTTCATTGCTGTGTTGTGTTCCGTCCCTGCGGTGAACCATAGTCGGCTTCGATATCTTTGGCTGTCACTGGGGTGGTTTTCTGTTTGAGCCATTAGAAAGAAAGCTGTACCTGCAGGTGTGCAAGTCTGTCACCTCGGAGCTCAGGATGCTGGGGCAGGAGGGTTGTGAGTTCTAGGACAGTTTGAGAGTGCGTGCACAGACACGCATGCATGCACACAGCATGCACACAGAGACCCACAGATGGACAGAGACCCACAGACCCCACAGACGGACAGAGACCCACAGATGGACAGAGATCCACAGACAGACAGAGACCCATAGACGGACAGAGACCCACAGACGGACAGAGACCCACAGACGGACAGA